ATTCTATTATGAATGATTTAGATCTCTTGTTTGATTTTTTTGATTTTATTCAAATATATAGTATAATTGTATATTAATTGCGATTTTTTTAAAAAAAATTGATTTTTGATTTTTGATTTTATTTTAATAAATGATACAATAAATCATGAATTTTGATTATAAAATTTAAAATATTTGATATTTTATCTTTAATTGAAATATTTTTGATTTAAGTATAACATTTTAAACTTGAAAGAACTAAATGTTATGCGTGTATAGATTTTGGAGATTTATGTATAATATTTTAAATGTCAAGAGATCTAAGTGATTAAATGACAAACTTCAAGAGGTCTCGATGAAATTCTCCTGACATATGTTTCTGTGGCAGTGCAAATGGAAACTTTATTGCTGGGTGAGCTTGCTTGCCTGCCCGAGACCGTCTCAGGAGGCGGTTTGAACTGCAATAATCTTAATTGGCAGCAAATGCTGTATTCCAATAATCAAATCTGTAACGATAGAAAAATCAATGGGTATTCTAATATAATTCTATCCTCGTCGCTAAAGTAATCTTAAAAGAATCAAAGTTTAAAGAGTAGGGTTATTGATTGAAAAAAATTGGATTGTACATGTTTGACGAAATATAGAAGAATTGATAGTGTAGAATGTGACGTCTTCTAGGTTTGAACTTTCTTTAAGAAGATTTTCAAACTTATTTCTAAGATTGTATTACTGAAATATTCGTACTCAATTAAGATAAACTTACATCCGCCTTAATAACATCTTTTTACAATTCAAACGTCTATTACTCGTCCAAGTAGTCTCAAAATGTATCTATAAAATGCTATTGGAATTGCGTGTGTCTCTCTCTTTTTTTTTTTTTTCTTTTGACTTTTTTATAATGTAATCAAAATTGAGAGTAAAACTAGTAAAGGATTATACTATAGCATAGTGGAACCATTGTGACGATCTAGAAATTTCGCACTTTGTTTAGTGACCATGTAGAAAATAGCGTTAGGCTACTCTCTAATTTTTATCCCATTTAAACCAATGCACACTAAGAAAAATCCACTAAAATTTCGTTAAACTGATTTGGAAAACGTAAGAGAATAAAACTTCAGATTTCAATAACGATGAAATCGATGATGGTTGATTTGGGAATTAAAAGAATCTAATCAAACAAATTGGGTGCACCTTCCCCTAATAAGACGGACAAACTTTTACAGAATGAGATCTTTCAACCGAAAATACTATAATACTTAAATCATTAAAGGCTCTAAAGTTAAACAAACAATTAGTAAAGAAAAAAATGTGTACTAGTGTACCCCAATTTTTAGCATTTAGAACCCGCGTTAAAATAGGGTGGCACACCGATTTTTCAGCCAGACCTTCTCAAATTTGTATCAGAACCTTCCTAATTTTTCTTTTCTCATTAATGAATTTTTAAGATTACGTTTACAACGTGCACCGTAGGATAGACAATTTTTTTTTATCAATTGTCTATGATGACCTTTAATCATTAGCAATAACCTCACTATCATTTGCTCCAGTGGACCTAGTCGTTATTTATTTTTATTTTTTATTGTGGAATCATAATCCCATTTAGGTGCCGATTCATTCAGAGGGTATTCCACACATTTGTTTAGTCTCCACAATAGCTCTAGAATTTTGCTAATTTTTCTTTTAAATTTCTAACACTATCGATCCAATTGTTATAATATATTAAATCCCTAAATTATGTCACAATAGTATTAATTGGGTCAAATAAGTTGGGTATTAGAACAAAAAAATAAAAACAAAAAGTTCATACTAAATCTCTTAAAATTAACAAACTAAAATTAATTCCTTAGAGTATTAGTATGATTTGTTAAAACCTCATTTGGTTCAAAAATTATGAAATATATAACAAAAAATGAATAAAATATAGAATTGGGTACTAGAACAAAAAAAATAAAAATAAAAACAAAAAGTTCATACTAAATCTCTTAAAATTAGCAAACTAAAATTGATTCTTTAGAGTATTAGTATGATTTGTTAGCGCCTCATTTGGTTCAAAAATTATGGAATATATAGCAAAAAATAAATAAAATATAGAATTTGTAAGAAAATTAAAAATTATAGAATATTGCTTTTATATCAAATAAATTATATAATTGATCCCTTTTATTTATAGATGTTATCTTATTAATTTTTTTTAAACAAACTCTTTTTTGCTTGATGAATTTTTAAGTATCAAATCCGATATAAAAAATATAAATATATCACATTATTTTTATCTATTATACTTAAAATGTCTATACTCTAGATCATATTTTTAACTCTGTTACTGTTCTTCTCAAGGATCTTTACTGCTCACTTCTCCAAATTAATCGATTAGTTTATATTGCAGATCTTCACTACTCACTTCTCCAAATTAATCGATTGATTTATATTGCACCGTACCTTTAAACATGAGTTACCCTTAATTCTATTATTAATGATTTAGACTCCTTGTTTGATTTTTTTAATTTTATTCCAATAGATAGTATAATTGTATATTAATTACAATTTTTTTTTAAAAAAATTAAATTTTATTTTTGATTTTATTTTAATAAATGATACAATAGATCATGAATTTGGATGTAAAATTTAAAATACTTGATATTTTATCTTTAATTAGAATATTTTTGATCTAACTATAACATTTTAAACTTGATAAATTTAAGTATTATATGTTTATAAATTTTAGAGAGTCTGAATGTAATTTACTAACCAATATAATAACTAACATTTGACGGCAGAGATCTTAGTGTTATGTGCATATAAACTTCAGAAGATCTGTATGTAATATTTTAAATAAGAGATCTGAGTGATTAAGTGACAAATCTCGTGTCCGAATGTAATTCTCTTTTAACATATGTTTATGTGGCAGTGCAAATAGAAACTTTATTGCTGGGTGAGCCCGCCTGCCCGCCTGCCCGAGACCGTCTCAGGAGGCGGTTTGAACTGTAATAATCTTAATTGGAAGGAAGTGTTGTATTCCAATAATCAAATCTGTAACGATAATGGGTATTCTAACAAAATTCTATCCTCGTTGTTAAAGTAATCTCAAAAGAATCAAAGCTTAAAGAATAGGATCATTGACCGAGAAAAATTAGGTTGTGCGTGTTTGACGAGATACGAAAGAATTGATAGTATAGAATGTGACATCCTCTAGCTTTTAACTTTCTTTGAGAAAACTTTCAAACTTATTTTTGAAGATTGTGTTACTAAAAAACTCGTACTCAATCAAAATAAACTTACACCCGCCTCAATTACATCCTTATACAATGCAAACGTCTATTACCTGTCCAACTAGTCTCAAAATGTATGTATAAAATGCTATTGGAATTGTGTCTCTTTTTTTTTTTCTTTTGACCTTTTTTATAATGTAATCAAAATTGAGAGTAAAACTAGTAATTCATCTTCTAAAATGAAGGATTATACTATAGCATAGTGGAACCATTGTGATGATCTAGAGATTTCACACTTTGTTTAGTGACCATGTAGTAAGTAGCGTTGGGCTCCTCTCTAATTCTTATCCCATTTAAACCACTGCACACTAAGAAAAATCCACTAAAATTTCGTTAAATTGATTTGGAAAATGTAGGGGAATAAAACTTCGGATCTCAATAATGATGAAATCGATGATGGTTGATTTGGGAATTAAAAGACTCTAATCAAACAAATTGGGTGCACCTTCCCCTAATAAGACGGACAAACATTTACAGAATGAGATATTTCAATACTTAAATCATTAAAGACTCTAAAGTTAAACAAACAATTAGTAAAGAAAAAAATGTGTACTAGTGTACCCCGATTTTTAGCATTTAGAACCCTCATTGAAATAGGGTGGCATACCGATTTTTCAGCCAGACATTCCCAAATTTGTATTTGAACCTTTCTAATTTTTCTTTTCTCATTAATGAATTTTTTAGATTACGTTCACAATGTGCACCATGGGATAGACAATTTTTTTTTTTTTTTCAATTGTCTATGATCACCTTTAATCATTAGCAATAACCTAACTATCATTTGCTCCAGTGGATCTAATCGTTTTTTTTTTTTTTTTATTGTGGAATCAAAATCCCATTCAGTTGCCGATTCATTCAGAGGGTATTCCACACATTTGTTTAGTCTCCACAATAGCTCAAGAGTTTTGCTAATTGAACTGTTTGCTGAGGGTGATTTCAATACTGGTTGGCTGATATTGATGCTCACTCAGTTCGACCACGTTTGGCTTGGCCAAAGGTACTCAGTCTTTTCTAAACGTTCCCTCCTATCTTTTTGAAAATTGAAGAGTTATGGAGACAAAATAAAACTGAAGTCATAGTTTATGAGGTGAAAGTGTGATTTTACCTATTTTATAGATTTGCTTCAACTTTTTGGCATTCAACCATGCATAATTGCATATGATTAAAAAGAAGAAAGTGCAATATTATTTTTATAAATTTTGCTGTTGTTCCAAAAGGTCATTATTGTTATTCAGAAAAACGATCAAAATCTAATCAACCAACCATCGAACAGGGTAGAATATTTACTGAATTTTTCACTGCAAGTTTAAAAGTTTAGTTTTACGATTCATATTAAAATTTGATAATTAATTGTTTTACTAATTTAACTAGATTCTATTCAAAAAAAGAGTAATTGATATGATTAAAAACTTCATTATCCCCCTAATAACGCTCTCTAAGTACCCAACTTTTTTTCCACCCCTGCCAAAAATCTAACCAAGATCTTACAAAACTGACAAGCCTTCAACTTTCACTGGTTCACTTCAATCAACTCTTCTTCTTTGTTGTTTCCTCTCTAACTCTACTTTGCAGTTGAAAACCACCCCCATAAACATCAGAAACTCTTCAAATACAATGCAAGACTTGGCTGAACCAGAACCAGAAGCAGAAGATGAAAAAAGAAGACTTCAAACTCAAGCTTCTTTTTAATGGCAAGGTCTCGGCTCTCTCTCTTCACTTTCTTCCTCCTAATAATCTCCCTCTTCTCCACAGCACTCTCCACATTTAGACCAGGTATGTTCCCCCAAACCCACTTAAAAAAATTCATCATACATGCATATAATGTTTCAATTTGCACAGAAATTGGATGAAAATGTGGGTTTTTTTGAATGAAAGTGATGGGATACAATCATAAAGTGAAAGAGTAATCATTTGCAGGTATTAAAGCACAAGAGGACCAAGATGAGCCATATGTGGGAGTGAACATAGGCACAGACGTATCAAACTTTCTCTCTCCTGCTGACTTAGTTTCTTTTTTACAACTTCAAAAGATCAAGCACATTCGTCTCTACGATGCTGATAATGAAATCCTCAAAGTACTGGCCAAGACCAATATTAGTGTCGTTATCAGTGTACCCAACAACCAGCTTCTTGCAATTGGGTCCTCCAACGCCACCGCCGCCACATGGGTCGGCCGCAACGTCGCTGCCTACTACCCAGAAACCCTCATCACCGCCATTTCCGTCGGTGATGAAGTCTTGACCGCCATACCCAGTTCAGCTCCTTTGCTTATGCCGGCAATTGAGTCTCTTTACAGTGCTTTAGTGGCCACAAACCTCCATACCCAGATCAAGATTTCAACTCCAATGGCCGCTTCACTTGTTCTTGATCCATTTCCACCTTCCCAGGCCTTCTTCAATCAAACCCTAACCCCAATAATTTCACGGTTATTGCGATTCTTATCGAGAACCAAGTCGCCTTTGATGATGAATTTGTACCCTTACTATGTGTTTATGCAAAACAAAGGAGTTGTTCCATTAGATAATTCACTTTTTAAGCCCTTGACACCCTTAAAAGAAATGGTTGATCCTAACACTTTGCTTCACTATGCAAATGTTCTTGATGCTATGATTGATTCTGTATATGTTTCCATGAAGAATCTTAATTTCACTGATGTTGTGGTTCTTGTTACTGAAACTGGGTGGCCTTCAAAGGGTGATTCCAAAGAGCCTTATGCAACAATTGACAATGCGAATACGTATAACTCGAACTTGATTAAGCATGTTTTTGATTGTAGTGGGACGCCATTGCGCCCTGAAATCACTTCCAGTATGTATGTATATGAGTTGTTCAATGAGGACTTGAGGTCACCACCGGTGTCTGAGGCGAATTGGGGGCTATTTTATGGGAATTCAACAGCAGTGTACTTGCTTCATGTGTCTGGAATTGGTACATTTTTGGCTAATGACACGACGAATCAGACATATTGTATTGCCATTGATGGGGTTGATGCAAGAACATTGCAGGTAGCATTGGATTGGGCTTGTGGTCCGGGGAGGGCGAATTGTACAGAGATTCAGCCAGGGGAGGATTGTTACCATCCTAATAATGTGAAAAACCATTCTTCTTATGCATTTGATAGCTATTTCCAGGTGGAAGGGAAGGATCCTGGGTCTTGTGACTTCAAGGGTGTGGCCATGATCACCACCACTGACCCAAGTAAGTGCTACATTGAAATTTACTCATTGGGCAAATATTTATTTTTACCTTGAATTTCAAGAAAAATTATTCACTGCATACTAGTCTATGGTCAGTGATTAGTTGTTACAATGAGAATATGGTTCAAAGTATTTGTTGATACTAACATGACTCAGGCCAATTCATATCCAACTCGACTTTTTGTATTCTGATACAGTTTGACAATCTGCGTAAGCAGCGTAACCCATGAGTCTCATGTGACTCAACTGAGTCACCCATGACATTTCCGAGGGTTAACCAAGAGTTGTCTGAGTCATCATCACAGCATTTTGTATGTACCACCTAATTCCATTATGCCATTCCCTGACTAATGCGTTTCAGTGATCTCCAAGCCAATGACTAATACTGCAACCTTACGTACGAGTGAGCTTATATTTACAGTCGGGGATAAAATTTTTGAACCTGTTTGAACCAATATGGTTGATGAGATGATGGTAATGAGGGGATTGGATGAGCAAGGCAACATTATTTATTAAGTCACTATGCTTTTGGAACATGCTATTGTTTCATATTGTAATATCTTAGTTGGCTAATGATATGCCACTATAGTTACACAGTACATCGTACAATATGAGCTGGTGCTTCCAGACACAGATTGGTGGGTGGCGCCCACTTGGGCAGGCTAGAAAAAGCAGAATAATAAGACCACTGTTTCTGTTTTGAGTTTAATGTTGCCCATGAAATGAGACTCTTTTAATGCGAAGGGTAAAGCAGCGATATTGAAAAATAAATTTTCAGTACTGTACTAGAAGTCAATTTTATTGCTAACCATTGATTGTGAAAATAATCAAATGAAGTAAAGCAATAAAATAATAAAACTTTCTACGTGTCATGTTGTGATGGGATAAAAAAAAGAAGGAATGGTTCTGAAAATCGTTTTTCGGTAGGGAATGTGAAGTATACAGATTTGAGGCTTAACTTGTTTTATGTATTTTTTGCTGCACATAATCAATTCTATCTTGAATCTGATTTCTAACCTTGTGGGCGAGTATTTTCAGGTCACGGGAGCTGTATATTTCCTGGAAGGTGAGCAGAATTTCTGTTTTGTTTTACTGTCATTTGTTCCTCTCTTTCTTTTTGGTGATATCTTGAAATTTCACACAATTTATGTGATCATGTGAAAATTAGGGTTTAGCTCCAATAAACCACTGCACATTAGTAAAATCCACTTGAAATTCATTGATTTATCAGCATCTAATCTCTCAGTCTGTAGCTCCATTTGAGCCTTCATTTTGACTACAATCATTAGACTTAATTCAACAATCGATCATTTGTCGATAAGGTGTTCTTAAAACAGATTTGTTCTCACAAATTATAAATTATATTGTGTGTGCAGCAAGAAGATTAGCAATAAAACAAGCCAGGTGGTTAACTCAACACAAGTGAGTGGTGCAGATTCAATAAGATGCATCAGCTTCCATGGCACCTTATTAAGTGCATTCAACAAGAGCTTATTAAGCATTTTCCTCGGTTTCACTTTCGCTCTGCTATTTTATTCATTCCTTCTATGATCCAATGTTGAGAGGTACAGAAAAAACTTCCCAAGAATTTGTGTAGAGGCTATGTTTGCCTTTATTTTACTGTAATTTTGTATGATGGTGTTTGCAGAAGAAAACTCACTGCATTGATGATTAGTCGTTTGCACAAATGATCGAGCTTTTGGTTTCCCCATTCGTAATTCCTCCTTTGGTAAAGATTGGCTTTAAGTGATAGAGGATGTGATTGAAATTCGTCTGTATCATTGAGACACCCCGAAGGGCCAGCCACATGTACCCCTACCCTGGAAGATCCACACAAGGCACCATATGCTTGAAAAAGTTTGCTCTTTATCATTTTCTTCACAAAAGCATGAAGATTCAGAAAGGAACAATTGATCTGCTGTGCTAATTTTTTGGTGGTTTTCTCTTCTTTGTAGGTTTATTGTTTTTTTTTTTTTTTTTTCAAATTTTCATATAATAAAGCATCCCAATTTTTTTGGATAACAGAATATTGTGGAGCCAATGTCCTTTGGGCACATGGTTGTAACTCAAATCTCGGATGCACACAACACTCTCAAATCACATATTTTGGTTAAATCTGGATTTTATGCAATTAGTGGACTCGAACTCAAAACGTGAGAGTTTTCGCCGTGTCCCTTATTCGGCTATCGAACTCAAAATGTGTGGGGAGTGTGGCATATCCTTTTGGCCAAAATGTGGGAAAGACAGTGCATCAAAAAGGGTGATAAAAGGTTATTGCCAGTTAAGATCTTGGGGATGTATTTATAGATCTTGGCCCAATTCAACGGGTTGGCTTGATTAAGACCCGCAAATACAACCCTTCGGTTAAACATATGGCTCGACCCATTTTACAAAAAGAGTTCAATAAGCATCACTAGACTCACAAGATGATAATAAGAGTTTCATATCAACTACCAAATGGACGGTGAGTTTAAACTTATTCTTTAATGCTCAGAGTATATAGTGGTATTTTAATTTTTTATTCCAATTTTAGCTCGATGAGTTTTTTACAGATAGTTGTGTGGTATTGAAAATAATACTGCATATTTATTTAATAATGCATAAAAGTGAATTTATGAACAATTAACAGTCGAGTGTATAATTTAGAGTAATTAATGAAATAATTAGCAAAACAATTAATAACAGAAGACAAAGAATGGACGGTTGGGCCAATGTGACCAAGCAATTGAAGGTGGCGACGATAACCGAGGAACTTTATTAATAAAGTAGATGTTGAATAGCTATGAGAGAGAAAGTCGTGTGAATGGTGTGTAGGGAGATCTCCCTTTATGTGTAGATGATTATAACTCATAGGCACAGAACCCTAGTTGAGACGGTGACGTGAAGGGATAGGTGACTAGTGGGAGGATAGCTACAACTTAGTATAGGTACAATTAAACATAATATTGATCTTCAAATAGTGGATATTCTAATAATTACTCCCCACATGCGCTAATCTTTGTGAATTCCTAGAACTTTAGACGGGGTCGAATTCATGAGCTGGGCTTGACCTGCTTTGTGGTTAATTTGTACTTACCTCATTAATTGGGCTTGACCCAATTGGATTCGGGCTCATCACTTTGTGACTAATTTGTGCTTACTCATTAATTGGGCTTGACCCAATTAGATTCGGGTTCATCACTATTTTTTATGAGAGTTTGGGGGACTAGCCAACCCAACCTATTGATCGATCACCATCTAGAATATGCCTGTCAAAATTCGATACGACACAAATTAAATGGATTTGGGTGAGACCTTAACGGGTTCGGGTGATAAACGGGTGATGCACGTTTAATAAACGGGTCGTGTTCAGGTGAAATTTGTCAACCCGTTTAACAAAAATAATATAATAATAAATTAAAAATTATTTTTAAGAAATTAGTCAAAGTTAAAATATTATATATAAATATATGGTAAATGAGTAAAAAAAAAATCTTCATAAAAATTAAATGCATATTACTCACTTACCTTCCCTTTTGCAGTGCTCGATGTGGGAATAAAATTTTTATCACTATAGAGACTCTTTCTAGAGCTTTCAAATTTCAATCTAAACCCCCGTCCCCCCTCTCTCTGTTTCTCTAACGTTTCTTGTTTCTTTCTTCTCTCTTTCTGGTTTTCTGCAGATGAGAGATGTAGCTTGATTTGAGTTTGGAAGATTCATCAAAACTATTTGAGTTCTTGTCCCAGAATCGAGAGCTTACCACCACTATCAACAACACTGGTCGAGAGTTCGACATCACTTGGGAATTAACTCAAATCGAAGATGAGAATAAGATAAAGCACAAGAGCCTAGCCATCGTGATTCTTCTAAGGATGATGATTGCACAAGTGGCAGTCAGTTAAAAATTTTTTAATTAAGAGAGTATAATTGGTATAGGTAATTAATGAAATTTAAAATTTTAATAAGATAGTTTTTTTTACTGCAACGGTTCGTATTTGTGTTTAGATTATTATCTGTTTATTAGACGTATCGTGTACGAATTTATATATTTTTCTTTCGTTACCCTTTTAATCTACATTCTTAATTCAAATCCGTCAGCATTCCACGTGCTGTTAATAAACGGCTAAAGTAGACCCGTCCCATGGCTACCATCATTGGCTAATAGTTATTTGTTAGATTATTCCGATGAAAATTCAAATTTTTACTTTAATTTTAAAAAAAAAATAAGTAAAAAACATGATTAGACACCCCAAATCTCGGGCTTGATGTGCTCTTTGCGAAGTGTTGCCTAAAAGCGGCAAAACACGGAGTTCAAAATGGCATTATTGCACAAAACGATACAAACCCTTCTACATCTCCACCCCCAAAACCAGAGAAAAACCCTAGTTTTTAGCCTCAAATCAATGGCTTGGACTTGCTCAAAATGCACATTCATCAACCCATCATCACAAAAATCAACATGCCAAATCTGCTTATCAACAAAATCATCGTCATCATCACCATCTTTATCATTTTCACCTTCTTCTTCTTCTTCACCGTCACCATCAAAACCCAAGTGGTCTTGCAAATCCTGCACGTTTTTGAACCCTTATCAGAACTCAAGTTGTGAAATCTGTGGCACTAGAGCCTCCGCTTTGTTGCTCTCCAGTCTTGAGGAGGAGGATGATGACTTGCATTCTTCAGTTGGGAATGTTTTCTACCCATTACAGCCTTGTAAGAGGAAAATTAGGGATGACCCAGTTGAGGTTAAAGATGATTGCATTGCTTCTGATGTGCTTCGTGGTGTTAAGTCGGCTAATAAGGCAGCCCTGGTGTCGGGTTTGCTCTAATTCCTTTAATTTGTTGTTTGAATTCATGATTCTATTTGTGAGTTTTGATGGGTTTTATGCTTCTTTCTGTTTAACTGGTAGAAATGCAAGATCTTTTATGCTGGTTTTGTAATTTCCATTAACAATTGACCATTCTTGAATAACTAAATGCTGTTGCCGGGTTAAATTCAAATCTCTTCAATTTATATGCTGAGTTCTGGATTGTATATGTGCGTGTTGGTTGAGTTTGTTTTATTAGACCAGTTAATTGGTTCAAATGAGGACCCTTTCTATGATGTGTGTGAACCTATTGAATATTATGTCCCTGTGATTATATATTCAGGTTTGGGGTTTTCAGTTTTAGGCATATGGGTTCGGATGGCTTGAATTGTGTTTTTGGCATATGTAAATTCACGATATTAACTGTTAAGTAGCATAGTCTCTCTTAGTTTATCTCAGTTTTATTCTTCTATCCGATTTCAAATGTTTTTGGTGTTCTTTGGTTGGTGGTTATTGACGTGCTTCTTGTGTTATGCTTTTTCAGTGGTAGTGGTACCGAATCTTGGGCGGGGCATGTTTCTTCTCTGTATCTGTTATAATCTTTTCTTTTGTATTCTTAGTCTTGTCATTTTTTGAGAGGAAAGGTTTTAATTTAGTTTCATGCATTTATAGGCTGAAGCTACATGAAAGACTTCAATGAACAACAGAGGTGACAACAAAGTGTAGTGACAAAAGTGAGTTTGTTGGAGTGAGAATTTTTATTTTGTAGCTTGGTGTTAGAACATATATATAGAAGACCTATAACTGCACCAGTTAGAACAACTGATGTGATATCCATTCTTGACAATTGGACAATAGAGGTTCTCTGAAATTATCTTCGAGTAAGGGATCAAAAGCAATATGATAGTCCTAGGTTTAACATAAAATATGACTAGAATACAATGCGCAAATTTGATTCATATATTTTAACTCAAAAAATAGTAGGGACTAGGATAACGTTCTATTGAGTTTGATTGTTTGCTGCCAATGATACATCAGATTGTTGTTGGGAAAAGTCCTCCTTGACTTAGTTTCTCGACACTCTTTGTTCCTTGTGAGGTCTTCTGGGTTTAATGAAGAGAATATATTTGGTTTCTTCACATTAGGTGTTATTATTTTAGTGAGCATATTTTAATTGGTGCCAATGCTCAAGGATAGCTGCGGATCCTACTTCATAGGTTAGATCATAAAATTTTGAACAGATCAGACTATAGATTAAAGTTTGTTCCAAATGTTACCCTTCTGTGTTTGCGTCATAAATGAAAACAATAGAAGTTGCCGTTAAGGAACTCTTTATTTGGTAAGCCTCACAGAATTTGTCATTTTGATCGGTTTTTTTTTTCCGCTTTTCTTTTCTTCATTTTTCGTTTTTTCCTACGTTTGAATATCGGACCCTGCAGTTTATACCTTGCACATTACTTAAGATCAATTGAACTTGTGGCAGATGAAACTTACTCAGGCAAAGATTTTGCAACATGGAAGATTTTGAGTTATAATGTTTGGTTCCGAGAAGATCTCGAGATGCATAAAAGGATGAAAGCTCTGGGTGACCTTATTCAACTGCATTCCCCAGATCTGATATGCTTCCAGGTTTTTCTCACTCTCATCTTATAACTTATTTTACATGTGTTTGAAGTCTCATCTGAATTGTTCTTTGTAACTATGCCTACTTCCTTCTGCAGGAGGTTACTCCCAATATATATGACATTTTTCAGCAATCCAGATGGTGGAAGGCATACAGTTGCTCGGTTTCAAATGAGATGGCTTTTACAAGGCCATATTTCTGCATGCAGGTGCGATTTTGTATCCTCTTCTCATTTAGGGTCCATTTTGACATGTTTGGTTGGTTTTCATAAAGGAGGGAATAATATAGGTCAGATGGATAGAATAATTTCCCTTATTCATTATGGGAGTAAGATCCCTTCCAACACACATTTTCTTCAATTTTCATCTTGTCAGATCACCTACCATGCATTCAAGTGGGACTCATTATATACAAGTGAGTCCCTCGCTCATTACTGGTGAATGATGTGCAAAGAACATAATTGAAGAAAAAGTATACTGGAGAAGATTTGTATCCGTCATTATTATGTTCCATACAGAATTTAATAAATAAGGGATTAGGATTGATAAAAGGATGTTTAGTCATTTGTAAAGAGCATCTCATAATACCTTTATTGGAACACCGCCATCTATGCTTGCACTATTTCAGGCATTGAGCTCAGTAAAAAGTTGCTCTATCGGAATGCTTCTGTTGGGCCCCACACAATCATCAGTATTGGTGGACTTATATAAAGCTGCTACCCTAATCACTTAATCATAAAATACCTTGTCCCTGGACTTCTGAAAACTTTGCTGTTCTTTAACATTATTTATTGCATATTCTCTCCATCATGTTACTGCTCAAAATATGTCTAATATACTTGCTTCTAACATCCAATGATTCAATATGGAAAGGTGTTAAGAGTGATCATAAGCATCTCTCTCTCTCTATATATAATTTGTCTAGCTTATTGTGGTTCATGAAGATTCTAAGGTGACACTTGTATGCAATTAAATTTGCAGTTAAGTAAACTGCCAGTGAAAGCCTACAGCTGCATACCTTTCATCAATTCTGCAATGGGAAGAGAACTTTGTGTTGCTGAGGTTGAAGTTAAGAAAGGCATGCCATTGATTGTTGCCACTAGCCATCTTGAGAGTCCCTGCCCAGCCCCTCCCAAATGGGATCAGATGTACAGCAAGGAACGTGTAGATCAGGCGAAGGAGGCCCTAGACATTCTTAAGAAAAATCCAAACGCGATTTTTTGTGGTGATATGAATTGGAATGACAAGTCGGATGGTCAATTCCCCTTACCGGATGGGTGGACTGATGCCTGGGCACAGCTAAAGCCTGGAGAAAATGGATGGACATATGATACCAAGTCCAACAAGATGTTGACTGGTAACCGGACTCTGCAAAAGCGGCTGGATCGATTTGTATGCAATTTGCATGATTTCAAGATAAGTGGAATTGAGATGATTGGCATGGAGGCAATACAAGGGTTATCGTATTGTAAGGAGAAGAAAGTGAAAAAGGAGGTTCAGAAACTGGTGCTCCCTGTTTTGCCTAGTGATCATTATGGCCTGGTTTTAACAATTTGTCCCCAGTAAGTGATTGTATCTGGGAAGAGTGAACTGCTGATGGGTTTTTTGGCTCTTCAATTGTAGCATACTTGGTGTGCTTTTTTTTTTTGTACATCTGACTGCTAAAATGGTGAGAAGGGCTTGTACTTCTTGGATGGGGGCATTGTTTTCCACATTTTGTAAGAAACTTCTTTGTGGAAATGGCTAGTTTGCGTATATTTCCTTTTGCTTACATCTATTCTGCTAGGCTGTTTAGTGTTTATTTACTTTTTTCTTTTTGTTTTTTTTTTCCTACAAAAAGTATGTTGTCCAGGAATTCCTAGCACCAAATTACAAATATATTTGCATCTTTTTCGCATTCTTTCAGGAATTGTTTTTTGGCCCCCTCAAAATGTTGGCTAAGAAATACGATTCCTCCAATTTGGAGAGCCAATATGCTGGTTAAATCAGAAATTTTTCGGTAAAGTTGGTATCTACAAGACACTGGTTTGGCCTTAATGGCAAGTCACATTACTTGGCACACTATAGGCTCGTTTAGTAGGCGTATTATGAGTGAATTAAATATTATATTATACTATTATTTATTTAATTGAGTCTAATATTTTATTTAGTAGACAAATTTAATTATGTATTAATTTTAAAATTATAAACTAATCGTATGCTTATTGTATGTTTTTTATAGTATAGAACTGTATTATGGAAGTATTTTAATATCATCAGGAAAGATGATATTATAATTTAACTCAAATGTATTATTGTACACATTTACTATTATAACCTTATAATTCATAAAATCAAGGTATCATCAGCGTAACAAACATTGGTTGTTAGTATATTTGTTAATTCAATATTTATACGATAAAACAATTCAATAGCCAAACAACTATTTGGACTAAATAATTATTATCCAATATTTATGTTGTGTATTATCAAATATTAGATAAAATTATATATTATTTTAATATTCCATTTAATTTTGTCTTTTATCCATTTTAGGTGGGCTAGCCCAAATCAACCCAACCCAATCAGGGAAAAATATGACTTGAGTTGAGGTTTTTAATATTTGAGTTGGGCCTGGGAAAAAAACACTAATTTGAATTGAATTCGGATAGTACCACGTTGAGGTCTCGGGTTACTGGATTTAACCCAAATATATAAATCAGGCACAATCCAAATATTTAATTGAACTTGACCCGAATATATTTTAAAAAATATATATATATAAATCAATATAACTTACAAATTAAAACACTAGGGTTTAGTCTTATGTTAAACATTAGTCTATTATGCCTTTAGATTAAACATTGATTTACGTTTTAAATATTTTGGTCTTTATATTAAATATTTGTTTTAAATATTTTGGTCTTTATATTAAATATTTGATTGAAGTTGTTGGTTATTATTTTAGACGAATACTATGTAATATATACTAGGTTTAGAACAATAGACTAATTTCAGGCTTGAGTGAACCCAACCCGAATTTTAACCTGAAATTAGTCCAAATTATGTAACTCAAATTCAACTTAAGCCCGCCTAAATTAAACTTGAACAATACTCAAGATGAGTAAATCCGGTTGAAGACAGATTAAGATTAAAGTTAGAGCTGAGGATTATATATTTAAGGTTAAGCTAAAATTGCCGTATCCACTGGTCCAACCAACCTGAGTTGCACCCTATGAGTTGCACCCCTATAAAAACCTCAACTCAAAGTCCTATTTTCCCCGAATTGGCTGAAGTCCTATTTTTCGCTGATTCCCTTAAGGCCCGGAGGGGTTGCTGATTCGCTGTAAATGGTCTGAGGAATTATCTTCTTCAGTTCTGCTACATAGAAAAACATTGCCTACGAGAGAGGGTTACAACAAAATTATCATCTGCCACCCATAACAACATCAACAGAGAGAAAGTTCCTGAAATATATGTCTGAACAGTAGAAAATGTGCAATCCATCAAACCTCTTATGGCAAGGATATGATCCACAATGAGTGATTTTGCATTATGCTGTCAAATAAATTGAGTCGATCAGTATACATATATTGACAGAATGATTACAGAAGTTTGGTTAACTAGTGGTGATGCCATGACTACAACATTTTGCAGCATGCAGACAGGAGGATACAAAGTTACAGGCTTCTGGTTTAGCAAACACCGTTAGGAGCCCTCAACTACTTGCCTTGGGTAAACGCACTTGCTTTTCTTCATTCTTGATCAATATTTATTTCGATGAAGTTTGCATCAAAATCTGATGCTCCGCTATTGAAATTGCTCATTTTTGAGGTTTCTGGAGCTTCTAGCCTTATACAATCATATATGATTCCACAAAGTGCATCTCCACCCCTCGCTTGAGTGAGCAGTATGGAATTGTCTCCCTCCATCAACAATGATGACGTTATGTCAACGTTAAAAAGCCGGTAGAGTCCATGCACTCCATGTCGACATACAGTGTTATCTGTCCCTAAATTCAACACCTGGAAAACCATGGTCTGTGTCCATATGATTGGCATGGACCTTAACAACAATAAACTTTATCCGGCTAATATATATGTTGGCAATGTAATTCGGGACAACTCAAAGTGGTTAAATAACGTAGATGCAACAAATGTAATGCTACTACCTGAAGATCAGAGCCGGTTGCTGATGCGACAGCCAACCTCAGCGTGTAAGTTCCTCTGGTACCTGAACTAAGATTAAACTTAATTTTCCATGTTGAAGGGAGATACTTGTTTGCACCCCTCCTGTTTACATATCCATTAATCAACAAATATAAAGATGCATCTATGTGAAAATCTAATTCAAGTCCCTATGCTAGAATTTTGAATGATCATAGGTAGTGTTCATCGGTTCATTAGATGTCATGAGGATGGAGAGGACAGAGAAGGAAAGACCTGTCCACTTGAGCAAAGAACCAGTCTTTCTTCGGATCATAGATGCCCACAGTAAAAGCTTGATCATGATCAGGGTGCATGTTCGTGTATCTGTCCCACAACCCATATTGCTTGTACCTGAAAATTTTCAGCACTGAAACAAATTATTTGGTGCTTGCAATTAAACCCCCAGCTCAACTTTAAACGAATACTACAGTAGCACTGTTTTTCTTTAGTATGGAACAAAGTTATTAAACCAGATGACAAAGTTATCATTGCTTGACGAAGTTATTAAAGTGATTGTGTTTGGCATTTTTTGTGTCCCTTCAATATATAGGTTTCTCAAGCAACTACGAGTTATTGCACAAAGCAGTTAGAGTCGCTTACTTCTCGGGGCTGTTAAGAAATAACTTGTTGACATACATCGGACTCACATCAGGAACATAGTAATCAATAGCTGTTCGATCTGGGAAGCCAATCTCCCATACAGTTGGACCATCTCTGATTGGAACATAGACCAAATTGTGAAGTTGTGTTTGTGAACCTGAGTAACATCTACATTCAGTATGGCAAAATGCAGATGCTGAGGGATATTTGCAATATTTACCTATGTGTTAGGATTATTTGTCCATGTCTTACTGAGGTTACATTTGTTGGTAGGCTAACCATTAGCTCGATGTTTGGGAGTTAATATGGCTTACATAGAAGCAAATATTTATGTTAAGATTATAGACCATGTTTTTGGTTACTGCAGACTGAAAGGAGTACTATAATAGTACCTGAGGAGATGGTAACAAGTTCCTTGCCAAGGTAATCACCAATAAAACCAGAAACCCGGCCATGGATTCCATAGACTCCAGGAATAACATTCTTGATCATAAAATTTCCATTTGAATCTGTTTGTACCCAAAATTGATATTCCTGTATAACACCAAACTTTTCATCTCAGAAGTTCTATTGTGAGTATGTTTTGAAAGGACTGTTTTTTTTTTTCGATGAAAGTGTTTTGAAAGGAATGTTGGAGCTATAGAACTTACATCAAAGTATTACCTTGCTTTCTATTTGCCAGGACCCTTCGGTTCTTGCAGCTGATAGACCAATATATGCATATTTCGCAGGAATAAGGGAACCAGACACAAACCTGGAGTAATTTGATCACAAGTGAAAAAGTTAGTGTCAATAAAAGGATCGGTAATGCTGTGGAAAGGATTCATTACCTCTGAGGATTGAGCGTCAAAGATCAAGGTTGCTGCAGAAAATAGCTAAGGGCGAAGAGAAAGTTTTTTTTTTTTTTTTGGTGTACTTATGTACAGAAGAATAATCGCAAATTACTAATGTCCCTATCCCAGTACAAGGACAACTAGATGATAAATCTAAAACATACAACTTATATCAGTGTTCAAACAGCAAATACAGCCCCCTTTTGCTCTGTGTCACAGATTCTTTATATCCTTGGATCTTATTCTTTGCTGCCTTTCGGGCTTGGCATTTGCTCAGAGTGGTGGTCAAAGGGATAGGATAGGGAATTAAATTTGAGACGCAACATTTACTTAAGAGATTGCCTAATTAGTTCATCATCAAATAGTTTTCAACCTGGAGAAGCAAGCAGTACCTGTCTTGGACAAAAAGTTGTCCTGAAGCTGAACCACGTTCTTTAGCAGCAAGATAATAGGGTGACGAGACAAAATCATATGGCCATAGTGATTCTTGAAACAGCCTCTAGGATGAACCATGCACAAAACACACCCATTAGCAAAGGTCATTGTCTTTTGTTTTCATCTACACTGTAGTGTCATTTACTTCAGAAGCATCAGCAAATTACAAATTACTCTGGAAATATCGGTTATCTTTTGTAGTATTATGGCCTCAAAATAGAAGACAGGTAGAGCCAACGGATATATATTTGAATCTTTTAAAACAGAAAATCTTGTCTCCTTTCAGTCAATAAATATGTTTCCATAATTTGCTGTGTAATTTGATGATAAATCAAATCACGAGTCCAGTAAAGGTCATGGAACAATTATAAGCCAATGCTATTGTGGATATGGGATAATACCTGCTTTTTGGCATCTATCCACAAGTTGTATGCTTGTGAAACATGGGCTGTCGAATTAAGATATACAAAGAAGGGACCAAACACTTTCCTCCATGTTTCTCCCTCTTCAAAATGAGTTAATATATCATTCCCAATGTAATGAGTTCCATGAAACATCTGTTATACCAAAAACCAAAAGAGTTCAAACTGTACTGTTCAAGTCTTACACTCAAGGAATTTAAGAAGAATCGATTAAGATGTGAAATTTTTCATCTTTCCCTGAGCTGAAGTTATAAGATTACGGAAATTGTCTGATGTGTAGGGTTCAATTTGGCCAGCAAATCACTCTAGGAATAGTCCGAGGAACAAACAGCCACAATTATAGTACTTAATTTGTTGGATTTAGAGGTTGAAACAACTTTTAATTGGTACTAACCTTTAATAACATATACAATTGTCTATGCATTTTGAATGTTTTAGGCATTTTGCAACATGAACTTGTAATGGAAAACTTACAGCAAGGCAAAATGGGCCGGTGTGGACAGTGAGATTTTGCTTAGTAGGTCCCCCATTCCAGAACTCGTGGCTGGGAAATATGACCCAGAATCCAACAATGGGACCAGAACTTATCCAGCCGTGGACTCCACCATCTTTGTTGTCCATTGAATACTGGTACTTGTCATCAACCTGCTTTGATTTACATAAAGGAGTGAAGACCTTGTTGGTTTATTCTGTTTGTTGGAATATATATGGTCATATTTTGCATGTTTACACACAAACACACACTCACACCCACTGTTTTCCACTAGACCCACCTCGCCTTTGAGATCAGGATTAATGGGATTTACTAGCAAAACCGATTCAGGCACAATTAGCTGCTTGCTTCTATCTGGAAGTAGATCCTCTGGCATTGGCATAATTCTTTGCTTCTCATCGGTGATTGCCATATAGTGAAACCTGCTTCAATTAACATGAAGTAAGCATACATTTTATGAGGTAGTAGCTCTCAGCATCATTTAATGAATGATAAACTTTACTTTTCTCGTCGCAGCTTGAATATCATTCTTGTTTGTGCAAGATCAAAGGCGCGACATTCAGGAGGAAGTTCATATATTGCATAGCAGTAAAAGCCTGAAACACCACTCCTAAAAATGTACCTGGCCAAAGGAAGAATAAATAAAACAGATTCATTTGAATTTAAGGGGCATTGGTGTTATACTGATGAATGCAACAAGCTTCTACAAATGGAGACCTCAGGTCAACACTGAGTGGGAGTCTTATGCCTGGAGTTGAAGGATCATAAGTACTCCTGATTGACAGCTCCAATTGATCGATACTCCTATGAATTACGCTATACTCAGATCCTTTCAACCTGAAATATACTCATTGTTTTGCTGTTTATCAGCACAAAGCACAGCAGATATTATGAAATTTGTTTTTCTAGGTGAAAATAGATGCATACAACTGATATCTGTCCTGTCCTCCTGGCAAGCTCCAATTGATGTTCCAATAACTGAATGTTTACAGAATGGTAATCATGATCAGTCAACCTAGTAGATGGCCTGATGGCCATATACGATTTTATTGTATACAACATTTAAGACGCAACTTTACAGACCATCTTAAAGTTTGATTAAAAAAAATATATAGAGAAAGTCTTTGAATGAAATTGGCTTCAGTGTCTTCAACAATAAACGTGCAATTTTGTTGATAAACTATGCACACAATATGCAAGAAATATGGTTAAAGAACTTGAAAGTTCCAATTATCCATACTATATAATTGAGCTGTTCATTTTTGAAAGTTACCCTCTGCTTGATTCACTTGACATGAGGTCTAAATGGTTGTCCATTCCACCATACTTTATGCCAGTTAATAACCCTTGGGGCTTCAGTATTGTGAGCCTTACCAGCCCATTGTCCAGTATAACCTGCAGAAAATATCAAATATATCAGAGAAAGAGGGAGGGAGGGAGGGAGAGAGAGAGAGAGAGAGAGAGAGAGAGAGAGAGAACACTCACATAAGAGCCTTGGTAGTCACCTTTTTCTTTGCCATAACAGAATTGAATTTCATCTTCTCTTGGTACAGAGGTGATGAATACTGGATGGGTGAGCAATTGAAGAGCTTTGTTAAAAGAGCTACTGTTCGTTTGTTACTATGGCATCAAGAAGCAAATTTTATATTCTTCTTACTGTCTTTTTCATAAACAGATTTGGCTATTTCTTGTTTGTGTCAAACATACATACATTGGCTATGTATGCTAAAGTTAAAAAAATGTGATAGTTGTGTTGCTGCTCACATATACTCTCCTATCAGAAATTTCTGTCCCCTGCATTGGTGTGCCTTAAAAATTATCTGAAGCAATGCCACAACTAGGTGGCAGTCATAGTTGAAGATCATAATATCAGTGATCAACTCGAAGGAGGCACTGAGCTGCATCCGTTCTTGTGTCATAATGGATGATGACTGTCGTGGTTCAAGGTCATAGTATCAGTGGTCGATTTGGAGGGCACTCAGCTGCATTCTCTTGGCATTGCTAAGAAGTCTCCAAATCAACCATGAGTCAAGTGACACTCGTAGACTCGTAGTTCACATAGAGTGGGAAAGAGTCTGAAAATGAAAGTGCTAAGCTGGTTGCAATGAACTTCAACATTCATCCCAAATATAACTCTAGGTATGTGTGATCATTGTCTGAATTCGGTTTCGTAGATGGAAAGAACAATCTATTGATTCACCACCTTTTCTGGCCTCAAGACACAATTTGATATGAAGATGAAGAAAAAGTTGAGCTACACAAACTTCAATAATGAAAAATCATAAACTGTTATGCGGTGAGCGTGGATCGAACACGCGACCTTCAGATCTTCAGTCTGACGCTCTCCCAACTGAGCTATCCCCGCGGATGCATGTTACACTATGCTTATACTAATAGTACAATGGTGATTATGTTACACCCACCTAAATTCATTATTTTTAAAAAGGATTGAAAAATCCTAAAAACAATCTTCTTTTTAAAGTTATAGATTATTCCTAAAAAACATCAAATTAAAATACTATCTTTTCATTAAATTAATTGTAATAAACCTTAAAGTGCTAGCAAAAAGAAATGTTACATTCTTTATTTTTTGATTTAACGGTAAAAAGTGTCTGGACCAGTTTACACATATTTTGACTAATTCCCTCTCTGATTTGATCAAAAGCAAACCATCCATGTCGAAAATAAGACATTCATGAAAGATAAATCTCTTATGATCTGATCCAAAGAGACTACGTTTTCATTACACTAGTCCAAAGAGATGCAATTGATGAATATAAAATTGCAGTATTAGTCTATTTCTCATACAACCAATTTTTATTCCTCGAAAGGTCAATGGTGAATGACTACATCTCTCACCAACTTTGGTCGCCTATCCTTGTTGCAGTATTAGTCTATTGTAATTTGTACATATGTCTATCATTTATGAAAAGATGAAAGAGTTGTAATTCAATTATCATACCACATTTACCGTTCCATTGTAAAAAAATAATTAAAATTGATCGGTGTTAATTGAGCCGTGTATTTTAATTGAGAATTGTATTATTTTGAAGTCGTGTCATTTTGTTTGTGTGTCTTTATGTCAATATTTATGTTAATAACAAAGTTTTAAAATTTGAAACATTTTGCATAAAAATAATAATATTAATCATATAATTTTACTTCGAGAGAGAAGAAGAGAAAGGGGACTTGATTGACAGTGAGACAGGGCAGAGTTAAGATTCTATCCTAGTGGGGGCAAAATCATAAATAAAAAATATAATCAGCTCGTATTTAAAAAAATTTTGCATCTCCATTAATAATGACTAAATTAAGTGCATATTTCACACAAAAAATTCCTTAGTTCACCTATGAGAAGTATGTTAAGATCAAAGATTTAATTACATAATAAAAATTAAAAATAAAAATTAATTCAATATGAACAAACAAAAATAATAATATTTTTATTGCATAGTTCAACTCAGTCATATATTAAAGAGAAACACAACAATACTATTTCAAATTCCAATAGTCGTCTATAATTGATCAATTCTAAAAGATATTTCAAAATAGTTTCTTTTAAGCTTATTGAGAAATTGATGTTTTTAAAAAGGCATAAACACTTTTAGTTTAACACATTTTATCATTTGCTATATATCTATTGATTTTGTTACTAGGTTTTGAGCTATTAATTTAAAAAAAAAAATGACTTAGGGACAACTACATAATTATTTTTAAAAAAGTACAAGAAAGTGTATTAAATTTTTCAGAAAATTAAACGGGGCAATAAGTTAATAAATCATAATTTTATTGCTATTACTGTGTATATTTGTTAATTTCTCAAAAGTTAGTCGGGGCACTATTAAATTTTTTAGAAAATTAAACGGGGCAATAAGTTAAATAAATCATAATTTTGTTGCTATCATTGTGTATATTTTTTAATTTCTCAAAGTTAGTGGGGGTACTATTAAATTTTTCAGAAAATTAAAGGGACAATAAGTTAAATGGATCATAATTTTGTTACAATCAATATGTATAATTGTTAATTTCTCAAAAGTCAGTTGGGGCAACTGCCCTCAAACATCTACATAGCTCCGCCCCAGCGGTGAGGGTAATATTCACTTTCCTACCACCACTCGCTGAAGATGGGTCTCGATTTGGCATAGAAATCCTCCTCCACCCACTGCTTCCCACCAAACATCTCCATTTTCTTTTGTTGATATTTCAATTGAAATCATTATTTAAATATAATAATCCGTGTGCATATGCAAAGACAATATTTTTTGCACCACTCTCTCTATCTATACCTTACAAACGTGCTCATCTTATGCTCTCAAGGTTTGTTTTTTCAAGAAAAAAACGACACAACTACCTGCAGCTTTTAGCTTTCTAAGCTGTATGTGTTGTTAAATTTCTTGTTTCCTCTACAATAGCATTTTATTTTCTTCATTTGTGATTCAATATCATACCCATGTTTCTAATTTGTATGTCTTGTGTATTTTTTTCTGTCTTTTTCATTGATTTTCTTTCTGGGTCTGAGATATATCTTGGAGGTTATGGCAAAAACCATTGAGATCTGGATTACTTATCGAGACTTACATTTTCTCTCTCCTGGATGGCATTTAAATTCGCTTGCATATTACCTGTTTGATGGGTTGTGAAATAAACCACTACTTTTTCCGACATAACTGTAATGATACTAATGAATATTGATGTTTTACTTGACCTATTTGGAAAAAGAAAGAGAAGGGTTTGATTTTGATTACCAATATCAGATCAATTTGATTTGGGTGATCATGATATTTAACAGAGTTTATATATTAACCTACAAGTGGTGCGTTTGAATGCTAGATAGTAATCAAAGCTACCATTCTACATGTTACATTTCAATGAGCTTTCTATTTCTTATTGATTCTTTGGCTTTCCATTGTTTTTTCACACCCTCTCCGATGCAGAAGCTAGCAAGCTTAATTATTTTTGTTGTTCAAGACATTTGTTCACCATTTATGCTTTATTGACTCTGCTGACAACCATTTTGAACATCCACTGATTTGAGATTTGTGTATTTTTGAATCCAATGGGATTGTTTGTATGGTTCAACTCAACCCAACTCAAGAAAGTCGTCCAAACATTTTGGGATGGGCTACATGAATCCTGTTTTGTCATTGTATTATATTTTAAAGGCTATACTTTCTCTTAAATCATAAGCTATTATTTTTTTTAATTTGTTGATATTTCGTTTATATATTTTGGATCTTCTATTTTGTATTATGTGACCCATTTTGATGTACTTAATTATTCCTGATTTTACAGTTCCAATTTTCTGTTGATCAGAAATTTGCATCAAAGAAGATGAGAGGAGGGGGTTTGTGGCAGCTGGGCCAATCAATCACCCGGCGTCTTGTTCAAGCTGATAAGAAGACCATAGCTCGTCGATGCTTTGCATCTGAAGCTGATCTCAAGAAGACTGTCCTATATGACTTCCATGTTGCCAATGGCGGGAAGATGGTGCCTTTTGCTGGTTGGAGTATGCCAATCCAGTACAAGGACTCAATCATGGACTCTACCCTAAATTGTAGAGAGAATGGTAGTCTCTTTGATGTTTCCCATATGTGTGGGTTAAGTCTCAAAGGGAAAGACTGTGTTCCGTTTCTTGAAAAGCTTGTCATTGCTGATGTTGCGGGACTGGCCCCTGGGACAGGGACTTTGACTGTCTTCACAAACGAGAAGGGAGGGGCGATTGATGATTCAGTGATCACCAAGGTGACTGATGATCACATATACCTGGTCGTGAATGCTGGTTGCCGAGATAAGGATCTTGCCCATATTGAGGAGCATATGAAGCCATTCAAGTCCCAAGGTGGTGATGTATCTTGGCATATTCATGATGAGAGGTCTCTTTTAGCTCTACAGGTTATTCCTCAAAATCTTCCGGTTTTGCATTTGATATTTCATGGAAATTGAGTGGATTATTTTCTAGCATTTGAAGTTTAAAATGCATTTTGAAGAGTGGGACCTTTTGAGCAAAATGGACTCCATCTTATTGACTGATGGTGGAATATCAATTCATGAAATGCTGCTATCTGAAATTGTTAACATAAAGTTTTTTGATGTGTCATTTCCTGATGATGGATTATTTTGTTGCTGTTGGTGGAAAGCATAATGGGACTTCCGAATTTCCCTGGGACTGAGAGACATGTTCTTGTTCTTTTTTGGTTTTCTTTATCACTCTCCTAATGGAATGCACTTCACCCGAAACAGAGTGAAAAAAACATAGTGGTTTGGAGGTGGGAGTGTAAGTTTGTGTTTCTGCTGATTGGATTAATGATTTTTAAGTTTCATCTTCTAAAACTGTTTTTATGGGTTCCGATTTACATTAGACTTCTGCTCGACTCTTATCTGGTCTGGTAAGCAATTGGTGGGGCACTGAGTACAGCAGAAGTACCCTGTATCTGATTTTCTACTTTATGCTTTGTGCCTTGTCAGTTTCTCATTTATCTTTGTCTCCATAATGTTACTTATTTTCAGTGAAGAAAGATCATTTTTTTTTTTGGAATGAATGGGAATTGATTTGCAATTCAGCTTATATATTTTGATCTAGGTGTTTGCAGTAAGTATCTAGCTTTATTGATGCTCCTGTGCTTGTGAGAATGAAGTGCCTCACTCTTAAATGCTAGTTAAAAGTTAGTGTTGTTTTGTCCAATATCACTATTGTTGTTTAAGTGTTGTAGAACAAGGATTTTCTGAAGGTTTCTGGTGCAGGGTCCTCTTGCAGCTCCAGTTCTTCAACACCTGGCAAAAGAGGACTTGAGCAAGATATACTTTGGAGATTTTTGCATGTTGGACATCAATGGTGCGCACTGCTTTCTCACTAGGACAGGGTATGCTATTTTTCTGAGATCACCATTGAGTTTGCATGGTTAGCAACAGAATGATGACTACTTTCTGATTTAAATGCGTTTTTGGTATTGCTTGCCTTCCCCTCCCCCCCCGGCGAACTCAGAAAATCAATAACGAGTTGTGATATAAATGGTTTTAAATCTGTTCTATACCAACCAATGGATGCCATATTTTTTGTAGCCGAAGACACAATCTATGTTAGACAATGCGTGGTTAGTCCTAATCAATGTTCTTATTACTGAATGTACAACACAGAAAAATCGCGTGCACACATCATAATTTATCCTGGTAAAGTCTCTAATTTTAGGCCAATGAAACAAGTTCTTTGGAATTAATGGTCTTCAAATCATGTTGGTGATACGCTAGAACCTTGGTCTATGAAGCATCAGCTAATTCACCTAAAACTTACTGACTTAGGTCATTTTAGACATCTTGAGAAAAGGAGAGCAAGTGGCACAGTTGTTATAAGGACCTAATTTAGTTTCTCTGAACATCTGAACCTGGGTCAGATGCATGAGACATGGTGCCTCCATTTTAAGGTCAATCTTTCAGTTGGCTTTTGTTTAATTCAGCAGTTGAGTTGTAATTCCTTAGGCTTTCCAAGTGAAGGAAACGTGTTCTTGGGTCAGGGTTGGGAATCTCAAAATGTTTGAGATCTCTTCCTTCGGATTTTGTAAAATTGACTTCTAGCGTCTGATTATTATCTGAATTCTAGGGGTGAAGATTGAACCATATAATGGCTGATTAGCACTTTATTTATTCAATTTCCCTATCCAGTTCACACCAAATTGTCCAGTTTTCTAAGTGTTGTCAATTTTGATAAGTGCGACACTTTACCTTCTTGGAGATCATGTCCAATCCTAATGCTAAGGGGCTGTCTCAGAATCACAAGAAATTGACTAGCTAAGCTTCGACCTGATGTAGTTTGCTACTTGGGAACTGTCAAAGCAGTGTAGGGATGATTGCCCTGGTAGTAATGTGTATTTTGCAAGTGTTACTAAATCATGGCTTGATGACCTGGTTGGAGTTGTGACACAAACTGCTCTCTGGTCCTGCTTAGACCGCCCTATATAAAACTATGGAAAACTCCGTCTATCTCGGGGACATGAAGACAGTTATTGATCTTTAGTTAGGTTAGTCTTTAACCATCAATGCCCCATTTTTTTCGTTCTCGTTCTTCTCCCCTTGTAATCTTTGCTTGTATGATTTACTGTCGCAATGGATTGATTGACCTTCTGTTCAATGAGATCTTTAGGTACACAGGTGAAGATGGATTTGAAATCTCAGTTCCCTCAGAGCATGCAGTTGATCTTGCAAAAGCTATTCTGGAGAAATCTGAAGGAAAGGTTAGGCTGACTGGTTTGGGTGCTCGAGACAGTCTTCGGCTTGAGGCTGGGTTGTGCTTATATGGCAATGACATGGAGCAGCACACGACACCAGTCGAGGCAGGACTCACATGGGCCATAGGAAAGAGAAGAAAGGCAGAAGGGGGTTTCCTGGGTGCAGAGGTAATACTCAAACAAATTGCAGATGGTCCATCAATCAGGCGAGTCGGTTTTTTCTCATCAGGACCACCTCCCAGAAGTCACAGTGATATTCAGGATGAAAAAGGCCAAAGCATCGGAGAAGTGACCAGTGGAGGCTTCAGCCCGTGTCTCAAGAAGAACATAGCCATGGGTTACGTGAAATCTGGAAACCACAAGGCTGGGACCAAAGTTAAGATTGTGATTCGTGGGAAGTCCAACGATGGAGCTGTCACAAAAATGCCTTTTGTACCCACAAAATACTACAAGCCATCCTAATTATTCTCGGCTTTCGGAACTCCTAAGTTTTTCTAATTGTTGATTCCTTTTACATGTTCTTGGTGAACTTGAATGCTGCAATCAATTAAAGTCTCCATTTTTCTGTTGGTGAGTTTTCCATGGTTATAAGGGTAATTCAGTTTCTCAATCCTGCATAATTGTCATGTGTTTGTGTATACATAGGGTGGACTCATTTGTTTGCCGTTGATGCAAGAAACTTGGTTGATAATATGACCAACAGGGATGACAATAGTTTTTTCTTTTGCTCAGTTCAAAATTTGAACTCCCCCCTCTTCTTCCTACTTCTGGTGTTGTGTTTTTGGGATAATCAGCTTTAATCTTTAACTCTTAGGGATAGTTTAATAGTTGGGCCTAACCTTTGATAATTCAGAGGTCTCATATTTAATCCTTTTTTACATCTCTTAAGAGTTAGTCACTTTTGTTTCTTAAAAGACATACTTTAATCCAGCTCAAGTTACGATGGTTAGTCGTTAATCTCGAGGGAGTAGTCGATATAAGATTAGCTTGTTCCACAAAAAAAAAAAAATTTCTGCCTTGGCCTGCTGATTTGGATTTTTTTGGGCTATGGGTGCAATAGGGAAGGATCATAAAACTTGAAAAGGGAATAGAAAAAGTTTTAAGTTAAATAGATTGGTGCAGCTTTCAAACATGTGTGTTTAAAGGTGATTAAAATAGTTAATTGAATGAGTTTTAACCTTAGTTCAACACTTTTAAGTCCCTAAATATTTTGCTAACCAAGATGTCACAACATCAATCTCACTAAAAGCAACAATTTATTTTTAGTGTTTCTCTCTTTAGGTGTTATGTTGTGTCCTTGTGCATTCTCAAGTGTCTATTTTAAATTATTATTGCAAATTAGTGAAATTATCATACTGATATCCCTTAAAAATCAAATTTTTATCAATCATTTTGATAAAAAAGAAGAAAAAAATGATCATTGTGGTATTAATAAGCATGGTATTAATAATTAATAAAAAAATCATAACACTTACTAACTTTATGGTTATCTATAATAATTTTTTATTGATTAATGCATTAGTGACACAGTTATGTCGGATTATTTCGTTTTTTTAACGGGGGTAAAATTCGTATCTTAGCGCTTTACATTCTTCCACCCGCTACCAAAAAAGCCCTGGTTCTTCTGATTTTCCCTCTGTGTGTTTGGTTCTGGAGAAATTCACATGAAGAAAAGGTCAGGAAAACAAGAGGAGGAGAGTTTGAAAATGGGAGATGATAAACAAGGAAGTAGCATCAACAGTTTACCAGACTCTATTCTTCTTCACATTCTCTCCTTTCTGGAGACGAAATACGTTGTGACAACCTGTGTTTTGTCGAAACGATGGAAGAATCTTTGGGTCTCTGTTCCCAATCTCATTTTCTCAGAATCCAAGGTAATATCGAAATCTAGTCTCCGAAATTTCATGGATTGCGTCGATAGAGTACTCTTCCTTCGCGATTCACCAACTATTCAAAAGTTCAGTCTCACTTATAAGCGTGAATGGCAGGGACGTCCTCTCGATTCAGACCGTCTCAATTCATGGTTATGTGCTGTAGTTAAATTTCACGTTGAACAGCTTATTATTGATATTAGTTCGGATGATGTGTTTCCTAACTTGCCTCCAACCCTCTTTACTTGCAAGTCCCTTGTTGAATCACACCTCAAAGACCAACTTTGTATCGATTTTCCGAGCTATGTGAACCTTCCAAATCTAAAGACCCTGGAAATTTCTATTGTTGATCCGGGAGATAGCTTAAATGATGGATTCTTTCGTGGGTTCCCCGTGCTATAGAATTTGAGTGTAGATGTGTATTATACGTTCACACTTGACAACCAGAAGTTCTTGATTAATATCTGTGCCCCTAAATTGAGAAATTTGGAGACGTTTTTGGTGAAGGAGGATGAACATTCTCCCTATGTTGTCAATGTTAAGGTTGTGATAGATGCACCAGTTCTTGAGTGTCTTGTTATTGATGATGATTGTGGGGCATGGCATTCGATAAAGAATCGATCCTCTTCTCTGGTGAGAGCACAAATTGATGTTCGGCTAGACAATTTCCCGGAAGACATGCAACCTGATCGTGCCAATGGTGTACTTGAGCTTTTTAAAGGAATATCTAATGTTAAATATCTATGGTTATCTGGTTCAGCTACGATGGCAAACCTATATATGTTGTTGTTGTTGATATTTTGTCGAGCATATCTTGAATCTTAGTTTGATTATATTTTCATGACTTCTTAAAGGTTCTTGACAGCATTGATGGTAATGCCTTGTTTACATTTTGCAATGTGACACATTCGATATTGAGTTTTGATTATTTGTCAAAGCTGCCAGAAGTACTTCAAAGCTTGCCTAAACTTGAATCTTTGGACGTGTGTGTGGTGAGTCTAGACGTGGACATAATCTATTCTAGAATAGTTCTTAACTTGCTGCCTTTTAAACTTGTTTTTTTTCTTTTGATCTAGTGGGCAGGAAAAAATTTGGAAGCGGCAGGTATTGATTTGAGTGACCAAGACACTCGTTTGAGTGAGGCGTTGAAACTGATGGAATCACACGTAGTGCCTAGTTGTTTGCTATCACACTTGAGAGTAATTGAAGTAGGCGCGTTTGTGGGTAAGAATGATGAGCTGCAGCTGGTGAAGTATTTGTTGAAGAACTCCAAAGTGTTGAGTAAGATGACAATTGGTTTTCTGTGTGATGTAGCCATCAAAGATAAGAAAATTCTTGAGAGAAAAATATTAAGATTTCCTAGAGGTTCAAAGACATGCAATTTTCAGTTTCTTTAAATTTGTTTTCAAGATATCAACTAGGTTTTGATGCTTTTTTGACTTTATGTATGAATACTCAGTTGATGCTTGAAAGAACAACTAGTTTATCTTGTTTATTTACTTCCTCTCTCAATATTACTCTAGATTTTTGATTTGGTTGGTTTTTAATCCATTTGGTTCTCAATATAGTTGTACTGTTGTCTGGAATGTTAAGTCTCTCCATTTGTATGATACACTTTGGTCTTAGATGGAACAGGAATGCCCACCTGCACCAAAGTTCATAGTGTGATTCGCTGAAAGTCGTATGACGGAGCTGTCACAGAAATGTGGTTTCTACCCACGAAATACTACAAATACAAGCCATCTTAGCACGGAAATCGACGATACACAAAATTGTATTGTGCAAGATCAAACTCGTTATAAACGACATGAAATCGACGTGTTTAAATTTAGTCTTCATTTGAACTCTTCAAGTGATACATGGGCAAATCTGTCAGGCTCGCATAATAAATGAATTGACATAAGCTTGATTAAATATGACATAAATTTAGATAAACGTACGGTATACATAACATCAATTGGACACTATAGTAATAGACTATACACTGACTATTAATGAGTGGGCATAGATTAATCAAAATTTGACACAGCATAACTTGAATTAAAATAGCACCAGCAATTAACAACTCAAAAGAAAAATATTATTTTTTGTATTTTCGTATTGGAAAATAGTATTTAAACTTAATCTGAAGATCTAATTAATTATTGTTATTAAATTAAAAGTGGGTATCATTAAACTTTAAAATTTATAATTAATTTAGTGATTGCAATAAATTACGTCTCGTCCACAGTATTTTGGTGTTTTTGGGGCAAAACAAATCCCAATCGGGTCAATTCAAGTAGCACTCGGATCCAAACTCTTGACATGATACTCTTTTTTTTTTTTGGCGACATTCGCAAAACAAAACCCTACCAGCCTGCCTAATTCCTCTCACTTTACCTCTCTGTTTGGTTCTGCAGAACGCATGAGAGAAACGGAAGGAAAACAAGAGAAGAGTACCAAAATGGAAATTGACCAAGAAGGTAGCAGAATCAACAGTTTACCAGACTCTCTTCTTCTTCACATTCTATCATTTCTGGAAATGAAATATGTCATGAGAACCAGTGTTGTATCGAAGAGATGGAAGGATCTCTGGGCCTCTGTCCCCAATCTCATTTTCTCTCTATCCAAATCTGATGTAAGATCGGAACCTCTTCTCCGTAAGTTCATGGATTTCGTCGATAGAGTGCTTCTTCTTCGCGATTCAACAACTATTCAAAAGTTCAGCCTGGCTCATAGACGGGAATGGTGGGAGCGACCTTCAATTTGAACCATATCAATTCATGGGTATGTACTGTAACCAAATGTAATGTCGAACATCTTATAGTCGATGTTTATTTGGCAGATTATGAGCTTTTTAACGTTCCTTCAAGCCTCTTTACTTGCAAATCGCTTGTCGAACTGTGCCTCGCAGACCAAGTTTTTATAGATTTTCCGAGCTCTATTTATCTTCCAAATCTCAAGACTCTAAAATTTTCTATGATTGGTCTCGGAGATGGCCTAAATCAGAGACTTTTTTCTGGCTTACCCAGGTTGGAGAATTTGAGTATACATGTACATTCGTTTTCAGATGAGGATATGGATATATTAATTGATATCTTTGCCCCAAAATTGAGAGAAGTTCGAATGTTTTTGATTGCGGGTAAGGCTGATTATTATCCCAATGTCCATAATGTCAAGGTTTTGATAGACTCACCTATGCTGGAGTACCTTCTTATTGATGATATATGTGATGCACTGTATTCGATAAAGAACAAATCGTCCTCTCTAGTTAAAGCACAGATTGAGGTTGGGCCAGACTTTTCCCTAGATGCCGGTCGTGTGCTTGAGACATTTAAAGGAGTATCTCAGGTTAAGCATATGGAGTTATTTGGTTCAACTATGAGGGTAAGTTTGCATCAACTTTGTAAATGTTCTTGTTGATATTTTGTCCTACATATTTTGAACCTTTGTTTGACTAATATTTTTATTTCTATATATAGGCTCTTGGCAGCGTTGACGGTAATGCTCTGTTTACATTTCGCAATTTGACGCATTTGGGGTTGAGTTATGATAATTTATTGAAGTTGCCTGAAGCACTTCAGAGAATGCCTATACTTGAGTCTTGGATGTGTGTAACGTGAGTATAGATGCGAACACCATCTCTAGTAGCGTAGTTCTTAGTTTGCATATTTTTAATCTTGTTTTTTTTTCTTTTCCTAATAGTGGACAGGAAAGGAAGATCGTTCGGAAGTTGAAGATATTGACTTGAGTGACGATGATGATTTGAGTGGGGAGTTCAACTGGATGCAGTCAGAGATAGTGCCTAGTTGCTTGGTAACACACTTGAGAGTAGTTAGATTTGATACATTTGAGGGAAAGAATGATGTGCAGCTGGTGAAGTATTTGCTGAAGAACTCCAAAGTGTTGGGTAAGATGACAATTAGTCTTCCCTGTTATTTATCGGGCGAGAAGAAAAAATTTCATGAGAAAATTCTCAAATTTCCTACGGGTTCAAAGACATGTCAAGTTCAATTTTCCTAATTTGTTTTTTTATACGTATCAACTTGGTTTTGATGCCTTTTTGACTTATGTATGAATAATCTAATTGATACTTGAAAGAACAACTAGTTTATCTTCTTTATTGAATTACTTTCTCAGTAAACTTGTAAATTTTCGATTTGTTTTGTCTTTACTCCATTGCGTCTAATTATAACTGTACTGTTTGTCCTGAATGACAAGTCTCTCCATTCATAGGATACACTTTGGTCTTTATATGGAATACTCACTTGGATTGCTCCACGTACTGGCATATCATCTTATTAGTGCTCCAGTGTACTAAACTTGTAGCTTTGACATGGTAAAAGCTTAGAATCATTCATCTCAACCATTCAGAAAGCCTCGTCTCTCTACTTGGATCCATATACTAATAATGCATTTGTCCATTAAGTTAATTACATCTTTGCTGCATGTTCTGTCATTTCTTTACCCTTCTAATTTTTGCGGAGAATCGTCTGATTTAAGTGGGGGAATCGTCTGAAAAAAAGTCTGAAAAAAGCATGGCCACAGGGAAGAAAAATAGCAAAAACAGACGGTTTGCCGCATCTTTGTTTTAGAAAATTATTGATCTAGCACCAAGATATTGAGTTGGTACATCACAATGAGTAGATTACATTCACAAGAACAAAGTCGGGGCAAGTGGTAAATTTATACGTAAGTTTGAATTTTGTCAATTCCTTGAGGCTAGTTAATGAAAGATTTATTGTTCATAAATATCCTTGTTTCAGTGTAGATGATTTACCTTTGATCAGATAAGAGAAGAGATTAGTCGAGATACGTGTAAGAGAAGAGATTAGTCGAGATACGTGTAAGCTGGTTCGAACACTTTTTCGGTTGAACTAAAAAAGAACAAAGCTAGGGAGGAAGCTAGGAAGGATTTCTTAGGTTATACAGCTAGTTGCTTCTTCCAACTAGTTTCTTTCAAATTTGAAATACTCAAAACAACTATTTCTGCTTCTCTCTTGAAAAAACAATTGAAGTTGGAATTCAACAATTTACCGAAGACAAAAATCAATTCCAGCAAATCTAATTGCATGCATTAACGTGTATAGAATTGCAATATGCCATACATTCGTGTTGTGAATCGAATTGTGCAAATTATCTCAATGACTTACGAACCCAGATAAACAATACTAATAGATAATACACGACTGTAAATAAAAATAGCACCACTTATGTTGTTTCTAGGTCTGTCAAAATGCGACACCATATGATTAATCGAAACAAATCGACAATGGAGTTAAACAGGTTTAACTGAGGTCTTTTTTTTTTTTTTTTGAACAGCTAGACATCATTCACGTTTCATTAAATAGGAAAATTGAGATTATAATCGGTCAAAAGAAAAGCCTTAAGCTAGGGGGGGAGCCAATTCAATCCAACGGGAGTGAATTGTTTAATTTAGCGGCTGTCATCCAGTGAACAACCTTGCTATAGGCTCTAGACTTGTGTAAAAAGTTAAGATTGTGTAATCTAAGAAAATGTCTAATGTCACTAACAATAGCATTGATTTCCCACGGGGGAAACATTTTCATTGGAGCTGAGCTTGATGATGTTCAGACAATTATTCAAAATTGTTGCATTGGTGGCCAGCTGAGCTTCTGCTAGAATGCAAGCTTGTCTAACAGCCTCAGCTTCAGCTGGAGACTCGAACGTGCTGGGAAGGATTTTAAACTGCCAAACACAAAAGAGTCCCTCTCCTTCCAAGCCACCATGCCACAAGCAGCATTATCAGTCCTTGGTTTGAAGGCTCCATCGCAGCAAATAAGAAACTCAACCTCTGCTTCTTGTCTCCTCGCCACACTCGCCTGTGGTTCCTCCTGTTCCTTCAACCCCTCCTCGTTAGTAGACATAATAAGATCATTCCACATCCCTTGGGCTCTGATGACTGTGGTGAAGGCATTAACCTCTTCCCTGTTGAAAATAAACTGGTTCCTTGCCTTCCAAATTACCCATCCCTCCGTGGCAGTCTTCCCCAAAACATCGAGTCTATCATGGGCATCCTTGACCATCTGCAGAATCATAGAAGATCTATTGGCCACCAACAGAAAAGGAGAATCCTTCCATTGTATACTAAGTTCCATACCAAACCAGACTCTTTTGGTCCATTTGCACTCGAATAGTAGATGCTTGATGGTCTCAGGGGCTGAGTGACAAATCTGACAAAGAGGGGATGAAGCACACTTCCTCCTGAAAGGGTTTTCGTGTGTGGCGAGGGTATTGTGACATGCCTTCCAACATAAGTGTTTAACCTTGGGCACAACCATCATGTTCCAAATACATCTCCAAAGACTAGAATGGACAGAGACGGAGGAGCTAGCTTCCTGTGGATCTTGAGCAAGTTTATTGCCTAGTCTATAACTAGATCTTACGGTAAACACACCCTTACTATTTGGCCACCAAATTCTTCTATCTTCACCCCCACTTATTGATAGTGGAATGACCTAGATCGCATTCAATTCCTCACTGGAGATTACATTAGATGGGCTAGAGGTGTTCCATCGACTGGGATTATCCATAATAACATCAGCCACGTTCGTGATAGAGCTCCTTTTAACGAGTGTGGGTGGTAAACAGTTAGACCTGTTCAGTTAAAATATGTTAACTTGTTTATTATTCGTTTAAATAAAATTAATGTAATAATAAATTAATAATTATTTATATTTTTTTAATCAGAATAATATATTTAATCAAAATTATTAATTAATTTTTTATTATAATAATAAAAAAAAAGTAGGTTCTATCAATTTTTTTAAATGGGATCTACTAATCCAATAATTCCCTTTATTTGAAATACAAATTTAGATCGTAGATTTAAGTTACATATCTAATTTTTAGATACAAGTAACATTATTCGTTCGCAAGTCAAAGCCCTAACCTCTAACCTCTCGCTTGATCTCTCTGTTTGGCTCTAGAGCAAAAAATGAGAGAAACGAATGGAAAACAACAGAAAAGTAAGAAAATTGGAGATGATGAAGAAGGAAGGAGCATCAACAATTTACCAGACTCCATTCTTCTTCACATTCTCTCCTTTCTGGAGATGAAATACGTTATGAGAACCAGTGTTGTTTCGAAAAGATGGGAGAATCTTTGGGCCTCTGTCCCCAATCTCATCTTCTCACTCAAAGAATCCGATGTCTCCGTAAGTTCATGAAATTCGTCGATAGAGTACTCCTCCTTCGCGATTCGCCGACTATTCAAAAGTTCAGTCTCACTCATAAGCGGGGATGGTGGGGATTTCATGGGTCTCTCAGTTTGAACCGTCTTAATTCATGGATATGTGCTGTAACTAAACGGCATGTTGAACAGCTTATAGTCGACATTTGTTTGATAGGTGTTGGGTTTCTTAACTTGCCTTCAAGTCTATTTACTTGCATGTCACTTGTTGAATTACAACTCGATGACCTACTTTTTACGGATTTTCCGAGCTCTGTTTATCTTCCGAATCTTAGTACATTGAAAATGTCGTTTTTTTTTTATCTGGGCAATAGCCTAAATCAGAGGTTTTTTTCTGGGTTTCCCATGTTAGAGAATTTGAGTATGCGCGTATTTTCCTTCTCAGATCAGGATATGGAAATACTGATCGATATATGTGCCCCTAAATTGAGGAAGTTACATACGTTTTTGTTTGCGAATAAGGATAAAAATTCTCCATATCTTAACAATGTTAAGGTTTTGATAGATGCACCTATTCTTGAGTACCTTGATATTGAAGATGGTTGTGAGGCATGTTACTTGATAAAGGATGAACCATCTTCTCTAACCAGTGCAGAAATTGATGTTGGGCCAGACTTTTTTGGGGAGGCCGATTGGGTACCTGAGTTCTTCAGAGTTTTTACCTTTTGCCATGTGACTCATTTGGTGTTGTTGAGTTGTGATGATTTGTCGAAGCTGCCAGAAGCACTTCAAAGAATGCCTAAACTGGAATTTTTGGATGTGTGTGTGGTGGTGAGCATAGAATTGGACACAATCTGTAGTAGAATAATTCTTAATTTGCGACCTTTTAACTAGTGTTTTCTTTTGTTCTAGGGGGCCAGAAAAGGACATAATCCTTTGGAAGTGGAAGAAGATCATGGCTCGAGTGACGAAAATTACTTCAATAAGGAGTTTTATTGGATGCAGTCACAGGTAGTGCCTAGTTGTTTGTTATCACATTTGAAAGTAATCTAAGTTGGTGAATTCAAGGGAAAGAATGATGACCCTGCTGCTAGTAAGGTATTTGCTGAAGAACTCAAAAGTGTTGAGTAAGATGACAATTGACCTTTCTTCTTTTTTATATGGTAAAGAGAAGCCATTTCTTGAGAAAATTATCAAGTTTTCTTTTGGTTCAGAGACATGTGAAGTTCAGTTTTGCTAGTTTGCCTCTTTTAAAAATCAACTAGGTTTTGATGCCTTTATAAGTTTTATGTACGAGTACTCAGTTGATGCTTGATAGAAAGACTACTTTGCCATAATATACATTGTTTCATTCACTCATTTCAACCATTCAAAAAGCCTTGTCTCACTACTTGGATCCTGCTACTAATCATGAATTCATTCACAGACATTGATTACAACTTTCCAGCATGTCACGTTATTTGTAATTAGTTGGTAATATGATTTTTGTTTGGTTTCACCTACTTAATTTTGCACTACTTGTGATCTTGTGCTGACGAAGGGGCTCTTGCAAAAGACACGAGATAGGAGAATTGTCTTTTAGAATTGCCTTAGTCAGAGCTACTCATGGCGCTTTTCCATTACTTCTTTTGACTGTCTTTAAGCATTACTCACTCTTACACCATTGAGTTGGCTTGCCGAATCCTTTCTTGAAGGATTGATTGAAAGATTTTGCATTGATCACTTCTAACATGACACTGACATTGCAGTCCTCTAACCTGAAAATGTTGGCTAGAACTTCTATCTAGGTGTGTGGTGTTAGCTGAACTTTCTTAGAGACTATATACCTAAGCTTCTAGTGATATTTAGCTCCTCCAACACACCATAAGCTCTTCCTAAAAGGCTGTATCAACTTTGAGTCTTTGATCATGCAAGCTCTTCTGATTGTTATCTCAACACGATGTTTTCCATTGCCTTTGCCCTCCGCTGCCTTTGCCCTTTCCTCTTGAAAAACTCCCTAACTGTCATTGTTGTGAAAGGATAGACCTGTGGGGTTTGGATGCTGCTGCCATTTATGTACTTGGGACATTTTGTTTTATATCTGTACATACGATAAATGTATATAGAAAACTACCTCATTCACAGTGGTAACCAGAGCACACATTGATCAGAATTGAGGGAAATAAAAAAAAAAATAGCACTGACGCTTAAATGTCAGCATAAATTTAAAATATCAGCCAACCAAAAGATACAACTATATTAATCACAAAGTATGCATATGCATATGTAGTTCATAATACTTCCGAAGCATAGGAGCCACCAGAGGCGATTTACTGCCGTATAATTGCCCACATCATTCCTAAAGTTAGCTCTTTTCCTAACAAATTTGAACATTAAATAGCAAAACACATTACATGTACAGACATACACACATATGTTCATTAAGCTATGAAATTGAAGATCTCAGTAATTCGATTAATAAATCAGAACACATTGAATGTGCGTAGAAATACATTAGATTTTGAAGAAATCTGCATAAATAAGAAAGAGATTAGACCCTTTTGAAGGTGATGAGATTCTTGAGACGACTTGGAGGGAAGATTAAACAGAAAAACACAATATATATACACCCACATTACGCACACATGCACACTCACACACACTTCGGTGAAGCTAAGAAATTGAATGTACATATAAATACGTCAAGATTTTGAAGTAATCTTGATAAATGAGAAAGAGAAATAGACATGTTTGAAGGAGATGAGATAGTTAAGAAGACTTTGGCGTGTGTTGGATTTGCTTTTGGTTTTGTTTTTCTACAGGGGAAAGATTAGGGGTGTCCATGGACTGGGTTATCCTGGGTACTGTTACCTGGCCCAAAAAAATAAGCTAGAAGTCCGATGGTTGGCCCGTCTGAGCCCAATATTCTTAAAAAGAGTACTTGGATTTGCCCCCAAACCCATTATCTGGCCTGAAGCCCGGCCCAAGAGCCTGCCCCGTCAAGCCTAGCTCACCCCCAATCTTCCTTTGAAAAAAAATTATAATTTTAAACTATTAAATTTGAAATTTTGAAATAAATCTTTCAATATCGAAATTTGAATTCTTAAAAGTTTAGATTTTATAAATAATGTATTATTTTCTTTTCTAAGTATTAAGCATATATTAGTTTTAAATGATAGAATAATTCAAATGATAGATAAGTTAGTAGGTGTCAACATAGTTAAGATTTATTTATTCTATTGGATGTAGTTCATTATTTTATTTTTATCCATTTTAATTTTACTTTTGATTCAAAAATATAATTTACACAAATATTAAATTACAAAAATATTCATTATTTTTAATTAAATATGTATATAAAAAAGCCCGCAAGCAAGCCCGCCTAATAAGCTCACGAGTAGCCTACCCCTACCCAAAGCTCGACCTGGCCACCCGATAACTCATTTGAGTAAGGGTTTGGACTTGCACTACCTAAGTTCGGGCCGAAAAAAATTTCACGGGCCTAGCCCAACCCGGCCCATAGACACCTTAGAAAAGATGAATCGATCATTTATGTGAGAGGAGTTTATAGAACTCGAACTCAGGTAAGCTCTGCGATATTAAAAATCGAACATTAATTATATAATATTTATATTTTAAAATAATAAATTTTTTAATTACGTGATTTAAAATTAAAGTGAACAGAGAGAAAATACGAAAAAGATAGGTACGGGAGATGGAAGTGAGATGTTGGTGTGGATTAATGAAGTTATTTGACGTTGGGGACCAAATAGAAACAAATTAAGCATTTTAGAGACCAAATAGACACAAATTAGAAATTTTAGAAACCAAATAAACACAAAATTAGGAATCACTTGATTGATGTGTGACCAGAACCGTTACAATTTTTCGACCGACATTTGAATTGAAATTAGAACACGTAGACGTAAATTAGAAATATTAATGACCAAATAGACACTAAACACATGCTTTACAAACTAAAAATCTATTTTACCCAGTATTAAAACGCTGATTTCTGTGAGAGTAGTAATAAATTACATCAAAAGTCAAATTGTTCGGCTGATCAAAACTGCCGATCCAGACCAGACCATTCTTTGCTTGATTACAACCGGCATCTAGAATATTCAACTTAATTACTACACAAATGTTTAGGTGGGTAGTCAATTTTATTGGAACTTAAAGAATTGAGTTGATACCGTGTCGTGTAGAAGGTGATATGATTTGCTGAAAAAGTTGTACAATTATAATTATAATAGCGTTATTAGACCATGTCAATTATCAAAACTTGTTGGCTAATATACTAGGGTTAGAATCTTTTATCTATCAAGTACATAAATTTTAATTCTATTGAGATTCTAATATAATAAAGAAGAGTAATGCTAAGGATTCCAAATAAGTTTGGACACCCTTGCATCAATGAGTTTCGTTAATTATTTTTAACAGAACCCACTAATCTGAGGGTCCAAAATCATTTAGGATCAAAAATATTTCCAAATAAAGAATAGATGTTCCTATGAATATATACTAAAATTTGTCTGTTTTTTTATTGGTAAGTATATACTGCAACTTTGTCAAACTATGTAAACATATGTAGTTTGAATTTCATATTCTATGATACTTGTTATCTTGTGAAGGTTTTGCCTTCTTGCGGTTAAGGGTTCAAGCCTCCTTTCCACCCTCTCCCTCTCCCTCTCCCTCTCCCTCTAGAAGAAGAATTTCATATTCTAAATGATAAATGAGTTATTCAATTGTAAACGCTTGTCTTTCGCGTTTATTATTGATATTAATAGATTATGTATTTTCACGTTTATGATATGTCGAGTTCATGATAATGAATAAAATTGATATTCCTAATGTGAACTACATGGTTCATACATTGTTGGGCTTGTATTTTGGTTTTTAGTTTGTCTTTTTTTTTTTTCTCTTTGATTTCTGTTGTGAGCAGGAGAAAATTGAAGGGTTTAAGGATGAGAGTTCACTGGGTCAAGTCACGTGGAGTGGGAAGTTGTTTATAGCAACAAAATCTAATGACAGAAGAGGGATAGAGTAGGGTGCTTCAAAACATTGACCAGGTGATTGGGTTGACCCGGTCCATTCTCTGACCCATTCTTGTCTAACTTTCCATTTCAAATCTTTTTTTGGGTCTAACTTTTCATTTCAAATTCTTAGGTCTCACAAACCCCGTAGTAAAATAAGAATGTTTAAAATTTGAGTAATGTTATATGGACTTAAAAATTAGACTTGATAATCTCAATCATTGAATAGGTAGTGGGTCTCAATAAATGCTGAGACCCACAGTGAAATCAATGGTTGAGATTATCAAATCTAATTTTTAAGTTTATTTTTTAAGTCCATGTAGCATTGCTCTTAAAATATTGGAGGATGCTCCAATATGTCAAAAATCCCCAACTGATGGTTGGTTTCGGTGCATAGTTTTGGTGATCATAAAAATGAAAATGTTTCAAAAATATTACAACAAAATGTCAAAAAAAAAAATTAAGAATTTGTTTCAAAATTATTGTTCGAAAATGTACCAAAACATTACAAAATATTTCGAAACATTCTTCAACACCTTAAAATGTAAAAATTTTGATATTCAATCGCCGATCGAATTTCAGTTTATGAGACCTAAAGATTTCAAATCAAAGTTGAAGACTCTTGCAGAATTTTCACTAAGTATGCAGATTAAGTAATTGTGTAGGCATTGAACAAATCTATTTGTTGATTGATTCAAATGCTAAGCTCACTGCTCATCCCTTATGCCCCATAAAAATGTGCAACTGCAACATAAGACTTACCATTGCCAAGAAAAGGCACTAGGAAAATTATCTACTTTTTTTTTTTAATTTTCACAAATCTATGCAAAAGTCCACAACATATGAGACCGTTGCAAACTAATTAGGTCAAACTTAGTTGGTCATTCCAAAATTCCCAACTAGGACGGCACGAGATCAATCCTTGTCAAAAATTTAAAAAAAAATGATAAAAAAAACCGATTGTACTTTATTTCTCACTATGTTTTATTCCATATTGGTGAAAATGGACTTGGTAAACGAAATGAAATTAAGAGTAACCTTATGTTTTGGGTAAATTTCAAAGGCATCCCATGATATATACCTAGTGGTTTTAGATATGACATTGAGATCCCTTGCCTCTAAAAAGTTATAACAACACCTATCTCATTTCAGCAATCAAGTGTCGGGGTGGGAATGCATATTTCATTTCAATGTTTATACTTGTTTTTATCAAATTATAAACGATTTTTTAATATATGAGATTACTAGGGGTAACTCATGTCTGAAGGTATGTGTAATGTGAATAATTTTAAGAGAGATATTGGTAACTGTTGGATAAATTTATTTAAGACCGTCGGATAATATACAATTTCCAACTGAATTTGGGTAATATACACCCATGGACTTTAAAACATGATATAAGCAGGATCAGGAGAAGAAGAGAGAAGGGATTGAGTTTGTTTGTCCAGCTGAATTTGGGTCACTGCCCATTATTACCAACTCTATGTTTCGTGGGATAAACTACTTATTTGGTAACGGGAATGAATTTTAATGACCACAGACTATAATTAATAAAACTATCATTGCGAAACTCTAATTTTACATATTAAATGCATCGGTGGTAACGAGTAGTTATTAGTTAATATCAGCGTTATTAAATTTGACCCAGTTCAGGGAGTCAAGTCAAGTCAACCCAACCCAATGACTAGCAGTCTAGCATTATTAAATCCGACCCAATTTGGGGAGTTAATCGAATGGGGTTCAATTACTAACATTTAGACCCTTTTTTTAACACTCGAATAATCTCGCCAGCTAAAATGAACCACCGACCGTTGACCCAGTGGAGAAACCCTTTTGCACAGTGAAAAAAAAAATAAATGAAAGATTTAAAAGTTGAGTAATGTTACACTGATCAAATTTTTATTGAAGTTCAAATAACATAACACAAATCAAACAAGTCCAAATCAACTGTCATTTCGTTTGGGCTCCAAATTTGAGTCAGTCTAGCATTACTGTTAAAAGTTTATCTTTATAAATTATATTTGAAGCATTATTGAAATGTTCAATACTTTTTATAGGTGTTGTTATTTGATGCACTTAAATATAAAATTGTAACTTTTATAATTTACTTTTTATTTGTTAACTCCAATACTTTTAATTGTACGGGCTAGTTGATCCAACGGTTAAACCAATAATGTACTAAACTAATTCTCTTATTGATTACTATATGAAGTGAATTTAATAACAATGTCATTTGAACTTTATTTGTTAAGCTAATTACTCATAGTCAATATAATATTTATATCGAGGTAAAGTATTTTTCGAAATTAGCTATCAATCTAATTGATAGCGCTCAAAATTACTATATTCAATCGCAGAACAGTGATTGTGTATGGCCCTGTGGGACTTCGTGAATGTTTAAACTAACAAGGAAGTTAATAAAAGTAGTTCACCTTAACCAAAATTCTAAGACTATGTCTACTGTAATAGAGGATTTTGTCCTTTAAAATTTGTATTGCTCGAAGAAAAAAGTGGTTACTGCATGTTAGACAACCTTTTTCTTACGAAGGTTGTTGAGAATAGTATCCTAGGACCCTTTATATAGTTCTTTCATCTTCTATTTATATATGTGGTCATTTAAGGTTTTTTGTGAAATTTTTTTTTCTTGGCTGATTCTGTGATCCCTTCTTCCTATATCTTGTAACGATGTATATCATCCTAACGCACGTTGTGCCTACAATCTTCAAAATGGTACGTGTACACATATTCCTTTTACCAAGGAATATTTGTTCGTTACATGGCGTGATGGGAGTAGCTTGGGATCTATCTTTTACTGAGTTCCTAGTTTTCGAACTAGTTTACTCCACCGAGCGTGAGATGACCGAACATGAATATACTAATCTGGAAATCATTTGACTTCCTTCCTTGAGTTGATGCCCACTCTTATGACAAAATGGATACGCTGCGAATGGGCCACTTAGGTTGTTATGTAGTCAGGGTGTCCATCGGGTATTTTGGACTTCGAATGGACAGCCCAAACTGAAATTCATTATAATCTCTAATGATTATGATAGAATAAATCAACAAATTAGATTTAAATAGTGCTAACTGTTAATAGGACTAGTGATTTAATAAATAAACCATCCGCTGCCTCGTTGTCTGCTTCAAAATTTTACTTGGTGCTTTGTGTTGAAAGTCAATTTAGCTTATAAGACCCGGTTAAGACCGTGAGGCAGCCAAAGCGACGAACAAGATATCACAACTTAAAAAACAAGTTAGAAATAATATTATCCGTAAGCTAGCTCAAGTGATAATAGGGACAAATTTTAAATTTAGACGTTCTAAGTTTGAATTTTGACAATCCCTTAAACTAGACCATAAAGAATTTATTCCTAATGAATACTTCAAATTTTGGCGTGTATAGTCTATTTTTAACCAGAGCAAAAAGAGATTAATCGAGGTGCGCACACAACAAAAAAAAGGAAATAGTCTAAGCCACGGAATTTTTCAAACTTTTCTATGCCACCTTCCTCCTATATATATGTGTATCCTATCATGTAAGACCTCCAACACAACTTACACTCTCTTCAAAGCCTTCATCATTCAAAAGATTTCTACTTTGGTTCCAAGATCAAAGGAGACCCGGCAATCTCTTGCTTGTTTTTTTAATCCGACACCAGGGAAGTGTTTTCAAACCCTCGACCCGGCGTAGAATCAACCCAATTTTCGAGTTGAGAAAGGCCCTTATTCCTTCCCACACACTGTTTTACTATCAATCCTATCAGGCAACATCTACTTACACAAGCTCGATCAGGAGATAAGAAAGATCATCAATTTATAGACGTGGACATGGCTGCACTTCAAGCTTCAAGCCTTTTGTTTGCTTCTTCTGGTTCTCTTTCCTCTCGTTGCCATAGAGGGACCATTGCAGCTACTATCAAACCACCAAGACTCCAGACGAGTACTCTCCACCTCCCGATTCCAAAGCTCTCAACTGGTGGTTTGGCGGAGGAAATGGAGCTGAGAAGCATTACCGTGACAACCATAAGGAACACTCCAACTTCGTCAGCTGAGATTAATACTACTACCACTAGGCCTGAACCTGAAGCCAATGATTCTGACCCAAGGTGATCAAAAAAGTATATGCGATAATGGAGGCCGTTGCGGATAGAGTGGAGATGCACAGGAACATTGGAGAACAGAGAAATAACTGGAACTGCCTGTTTTTAACATCAATCAATACAATCACTCTCTCTGCTGCAACCATTGCCGGAATTGCAGCTACAAGTGCAGTCGGGGGACTCAGGTCCCCCATATTGTCACTCAAGCTGGCTTCGACTCTAATGTACTTGACAGCCACTGGAATGTTGATTATTATGAACAAAATTCAACCATCCCAACTTGCTGAAGAACAGCGTAACGCTGCAAGGTTGCTTAAGCAGATTCATGGAGAAATTGAAACAATTATTTCCTGTGGTAATCCTACTGTTAGTGATGTGAACGAAGCAATGGAGAAAGTTTTAGCTGTTGACAGGGCCTACCCTCTTCCTCTGCTTGGCGTTATGCTCGAAAGATTTCCATCTATGGTGGAGCCTGCAGTGTGGTGGCCTCAACCACGACGAAGAACGGCTAATTCGAAAGAGTTAGGAGTTAAACTTGATTGCAACGGTTGGAATAGAGGATTGGAAGAGGAAATGAGAGAAGTAGTTGGGGTTTTGAAGAGGAAAGACAAAGCAGACTATTTGAGGTTGGGTGGAAAAGCCTTGAAACTGAACCAAATACTGGCCATAACTGGTCCATTACTAACAGGTCTAGCAGCAGTTGGGACTGCTTTTATAGGATCTCCTTTTCATGGTTCTTGGGCCGCTGGGCTTGGAGTTGTTGCCGGAGCTTTGGCTAGCATAGTGAACACAGTTGAGCATGGAGGGCAAGTGGGGATGGTGTTTGAGATGTACAGAAGCAATGCTGGTTTCTTAAAGCTCATGGAGGAGTCTATAGAGTCAAATCTAAACGAAAGTGAATTGGGTAGGAGAGAGAATGGGGAATTGTTTGAAATGAAGGTGGCTTTGCAGTTGGGGAGGAGCCTCTCAGAGCTAAGGGAACTTGCAGCCTCATCAGCAAGAAAAGGAGAGATGGGCGAAGAGTTTGCAAGCAAGCTGTTCTGATTAAAGTGAATAGATGCATATGCTGTAGTAGTAACTCAAATATGTCTACAAATCTGTGTATAAACTGTTAACTGAGTCATCCAATGCAATTATGGGGCATTTGAACATCTTATGGAAAGAGGATCAGTGGTGGACCCGCAGCCCGTCATTGGACCGGTTGATTGCGGGTTCAAACTTCACCGTCCCCTCCCTCGTAATAGTTCAAAATAATGACAAAAAAAAAAAATCTTAAGGAAATATTTGGCCTCGGATTTTTAGCTCAACACTAATAGTTTTTAATTTTTTGCATGGCCTTTTTGAGTCTCTTACTTTTGTTGACCCGTAGATGATTTTTTTTTTTTTTGTCTCTCAAGAAACAAAGATACATCAAACTACATTAAAAAAAAAACAACAACAAACAGCTAAAAGTACCTAGGACAAAAACCAGTTGTCAACCAAAACCCTTTGTTGACTCAAATAGTGCAATTGTGGACACAAAACTTTTTGCGTCGACGAGCCAACTATTTGTGTCGATAACTTGCCAATGCAAAAACTAGTCTTTCTTGTAATAAATTATATACATTACATATAGAAATGTGAACAATCACTCATTTTTGATTAACTCCAAACAAAGGAAAAAAAATTGAAAACAAATTTGCAAAAAGTGAACCCTACATAAAAAAGATATATTTTTTAATTGAACTAGACATGACAAAGTAGTTTAAAAAAATGTGGCATGTGGTATGTTTGGCTATAGGATGTTGATGGTTGGTTTTGGAATGTTGATTTTAGATTATTGATTTTGTTGTCTTAAAGTTTTGTTTTTATGGGTTTATGTTCAGATAAAGAAAAAAAATTTAAAGCATGTATGAATTTTTAAGACATGCCATATGATTGGCGATTATTAGATTTTATTTTTTATTTTTTTATAGGTACTTATGTGGATTTGAGGTTGTC